ATATTTGTTCTCTTATTTTTCTAGGCAATTTTTTAACTATCATTAATGTTAATATTTTTAGTTTCCTTGGAACGAGATCTAAAAATATGTAATTTGCATGTTTTTCTTTTAATATATAATACAAATCTATTTTAATAATTGTAATTTTCATGATCTAACAAGACTCTGATACCATTTTGCACCAGAGTGCACAAGTCGCACCCAATTTAGCAGAATAATTTTTACTTATAATTCTTTGGGGGTTTATTTGAAGTTTTTTGTTCTTATAATGGCTTTGTTTGCAAATCATACATATTATGAGGGTATTTTTGGAAACTATATTTTCTGTAAAGTTTTTGTAAGGGTCCGTTTGATAACCTAGAAAATGGGTAGAAAAGGAAAACATTTTCTAACTTTAGCCAATTAAGGGTGTTTGATAGCACAAATTTTCCTGCAAAATGTTTTCTACCTTTTTTTATGTACAATCATTTGATGCACAAAATCTTGATTTTGTTTTCCAACCTATTTGGTGGGGAAAACATTTTTCACTTTTTTTTTCTTGCAATGGGAACAAATTTTAGATACAATGGTAAAAAAAATTTTGCTTTTATTGACAACTTCCATGCAAAACAAAGTCAAACGAATGATATTCGGTATGGTAATTTTTTTTTTTACAATTGGAACAAATTTTAGATCCAATGGTAAAAAAAATTATCACTTTAATTGACAAATTCCATAAAAAACGAAGCCAAATGGACACCAAACTCTCAACATTTTTCACGAAAAATTATACTAATCAAATACAATTAATTACAATTCTCAGTTAAACATTTTCTAAGAAAATCAATTCATTGTAAAACATTTTCATTCCACATATTTTCCCTCCTTGCAATCAAACGAACCCTAAGTGAATAGTTCTGTCCAAACAAAATTATTCTTGCTATTTTTCGCAACAAACAATAAAGAAATATCCGACGACGTCGTTACACTTTTTATTGTAGTGAAACGACAGCGTAGTCTTCTCTTACAAGCAAAACTTCATTTCACTACTTGTTATTATTCTCCCAAAACATGAAAAAGCAATTTTTCCTCTCTTCACTCCCCGATTGAAATTGAAATTTGGATCCAAAATCCCGATTCTCCCAATTCTCTTATTGCAATCATTGCGTGTGTAATTTCTTGTGGATTTGTAGGTGGGGATTAATGGGCTGCACGCAATCTAAGATCGAGAATGAGGAAACTGTAAATCGATGCAAAGAGCGGAAGCAATATATGGAGCGGGCCGTTATGACCCGCAACAAGTTTGCGGCAGCCCACTCAGCCCACGCCATGTCCTTGAAGAACATCGGTGCCGCCCTTAGTGACTATGCTCACGGGGAAGTTGTACATCCCCCCGCCGGCGGCGGCGGCGGCGGAGGTGGAATTAGTGTTGATGCCACCCTTCAGCCACCAATTCCGCCTTATGATAATTTTGCTCCCCCTCCCCCACCCCCTTCGTTCAATCCGACTCCTTCGCCGCTACAGCGGGCGTCTACAGTTCCTGAATTTCGAACTGAATTAAAGCGTTCGAACTCGATAATTGAGGAGGAGAACGAAGAGGACATTGAAAATGAGAGCGCTCATAGTTTGAAACATCGCAGCAGTAAGAGCAGTGGACGGGGTAGTATGGGGGGGAGAGGTGGACTTTCACGTAAGAAGGTTACTGAGGAAGACGTCTTGCAGAAGCCACCTCCGCCAATGCGGCCAAATGAACGCGATCACGAGCATCCGGCCCCTCCTCCTCCTCCTATGAATAACGACGATTCTTGGGATTATTTGTTCGAGGCAGATATGCAAGGGTCGACGCTGGCTGATGTGGAGGATGATCAATTCCTGGTACAGGAAATTGAGCGAAAAATGCAAGAAGAAAGGGCTAATAAAAGTGAACTGGACGGTGAAGTTGATGGAGGGAGGAGGGTTGAGCACGTGGAGGTGGCCCCTGAAGTGGCGGAAGGCTCGGTGTATCTTTCAAAACAGCCTCCTCCGACTCAAACAGCAGTGGCAACAAAGCTGACCAAGAGAGAGAAAATGGTGGCTCCAGCAGAAGGGAAAACGAAAGGCGGACAGAGTAATACAAACTTGTTGCAAATATTCGTGGATCTTGATGATTATTTTCTCAAGACTTGCGAGAGTGCTCATGATGTATCTAGGTTGCTTGAGGCGACCCGCTTGCATTATCACTCAAATTTTGCGGATAAAAGAGGTATAATATATATAGTTGGTGTTTAATGTGGTTAGAATCGCATAGTGATGGCCTTGGAATAAACTGATAACAATAATGCCTATTCAGTATGAATATTGAATAGTTCACGGATCAAATTAATATACTTTATCAAGGGAAGTTCTTTCACCTTACTCATGGTAGTTTACAGCAAATGTTCAATATGCCTCTAACTTTAGTTTGGATTGGAAAGAATGTTAGTGTTGTCCTGTCAGTGGTTGAATGATCATTTCTCTATTTGATGTTTATATAAAAGCTCAAGTGAAAAATTGCAAATGGCTTTGCAAAAAATAAATAAATAAATAATTGCATCTGCATTAAATGTAGCCGTGTAGTCATTGAAACTATAAAGTACATAGCTTTATTAGATTTTAGTGTGGAGTTGGAACAACAATTAGTCCAATAGTTCAGATGAGCGGCGGAGTATTCATGTGGATGTATAAATACTGCAGCTTTTTCTTTGTAGGACACATTGATCATTCTACTAGGGTCATGCGCGTCATTACATGGAATAGGTCCTTCAAAGGTTTACCTAACGCATATGATGGAGTTGACGACTTTGATTCTGAAGAGCACGACACTCATGCAGCAGTGTTGGACAAGATACTGGCGTGGGAGAAAAAGCTTTATGATGAAGTTAAGGTATGTACATTAATATTTGTGTTGAACATGTCATATATATTCGGTGGATCTTTAGACTTTGTTTCTTTAGTATTCATCTTGTTTAATTTTCATCAACAAAGTTAAATCTTTAGTATTCGGAAGATTTTCTAGTTATCTTATTCTGAATACGGTGGTCGAATTTGAAAATTTTGCTTACATTTTGCTGTTAATTTTGAATGTGGCGAACAACTTTGTTTAACAGCACCAATTTTAATCTAGTATTCTACCAACCATCAAAATCTAAATTTGGTGCTTTCATGGGAGTTTCTGCCATAGATTGGCTTTTAGGTACCGGTACCCTAGGTTCACTGCTTCAAACCTCAACCAGATACTTCAGTGAGTGCATGCACAACTGGAAATCGGCAACATGTGAAAGTGTTGAATTTGACACAATGTCAGAGAACCTAAGTGTGTGACTGATGCAGTTAGCTCTGATATCAATTGACACAGAACTTTTACAGAATGAGAATTAGAGAGGATCGAATAAAAGAAGAAGTTAGGAGGAAGAAATCTATATTCAGCGCCTGTTTGAGCCCCATTTTTTTTCCCCAAAATGCAATTTGGAATAGTATTTTGATGGAGAATGCGTAGTTAAAAAATAAGGAAAAGTTTTGAATTTGTGTGTAATATGTTATTATATTGAAGAATGTGTATTTGAAAATAAAAGAGAGAAAAATGTATTTTGGAAATAATAGGACCAAACAAGGGCTTAATATCAATAATTACTAATAGTATGAATATAAATGAAATCCTAGGTTCCTTTACATAGGATAAAGGACTTAAATGTCAAAGATAATTTTATAACTTTCATGGTAGGGGTATAACCAACTCCTGCTGGGTCTAAGTGGAGATCCCACTTAGGTTTAGATGGTGTTTTAATTAAATAAAAACTTAAATCTTAAAAAACCTCTAATAAACAACAACCTCATCTTGTAAAATCTTACTTAATCAAAACTAACGAAATATAATGTAAATTAAAATTTAAAGAGGGAGGTATATATGTTCATATTGAGTCAACGTATTACACTGAAGGGATTAAGATGTAAAGTGAAAACCAATCAAAAATTTATGGAGAATATTTGTCATCATAAAAGGAGGAACAAGCCACGTATACATTTACTCAGTCCTCACACTGTCAAGGAATGGCATAGATTTCCCTTGAAATAAAATTAGATTTTAGCCTATAATTCTTGAATTTGACATGTTATCTCCTAATTTTATTGTTGCAGAAAAATGTCAGCTTTAGACATTCACTGCTGATACCGGAATAAGAAAGCAGTCCCTATCGATTTCCTTTCTTTTTTTCTTGGTATTTAATTGATTAGTGTTAAAACAAAATTCTTCATTATAGTTTTGTATCTTGACTACTTGATTCTCTGTGGCCTTTACTGTCTACCCTTATGAATGTATCCTGAATTCCTGATGTAGCACATATTCAGTGAACACATACCAGAAATAACCCTGCTGTATCTAGTGATCAATATTCATTTATTGGTAATGGTGAAGATTACAAATTTTTTGAATCCACAAAATATTCTCTGTTTCTTTGCCACTTAAAGCCGTACAATGTTTGTCTCCGAATATCTCTGTCCATTAAGAATAGTTTGTGGTTTTCTTTGATGCTACAGGCAGGTGAGCAAATGAAACTTGAATATCAGAAAAAGGTGGCTTTGTTGAATAAGTTGAAGAAACATGGCTCAAATATAGGCGCCTTAGAGAGGATGAAAGCAGCAGTTAGTCATTTGCATACCAGATACATTGTTGACATGCAATCCATGGACTCCACCGTATCAGAAATTAATAGTTTGCGCGATGATCAACTGTATCCGAAACTTGTTACCCTTGTTGATGCGTAAGTTCCTACGTTGCTATGAGAAACACTTTCTGTTGTCTAGCTGTTGTTGAGGATCTGTAGCTTGCTTCCGTTGGCATTTGTTATAAGCAAAATAATTATTGCGGCATATACCATGACCACTTCAGGAAACACGTAACCTCTAGGATTCTAATATGATACCATGGATTTCTCTTGCTTATCTTCATGCGCATAAATTTCCAGGTTTCATTGTTCTTACTACCCCAAAAATCGCTTAGCCTATGGATCTTCCATTTATTTTTATACCATTTGTATATTCAAATTTGATTTTTCCCCTTTGTTACTGCAAAGTTCTTTATACAAGTTATTGCACTTTATTGCATTGTTCTTGTTGAGGATGTAATTTAAATAAATATGTTTGTACTTTCTACAACACTCAAGCTGTTAGATTGTGATTTGACGTGGTAACAGAGCACTTAAAAGTTCCTTAGTTCAAGTCCAAATATCACCTATTATGAAAATTTTGCTCGTGTTAGCCTTTGATGTATGTGAGGTTCCTCTTGAAGATATAGTTTAAATAAATATGTTTGTCCTCTCCCAAACGTCTTAATCTTTTAGATGAGATGGTAAACTGATCCAAGATAGGTATTTGGTTACGCCCATGAGGATCACCTCTAAATGCTATAGATTGGCGGATATTCATGGTTATGCATTGTAATCAGCATTTGAATTACCCAAATGTTATAATTTTTTATTTTTATTTTTTGTTCTCGTGCCGATTTGAAGAAAATTGTTTTTAGAAAATTACAATTTTCGAAAAGTTTTTCATCTATACGGCCTTGTAAAGTTAGCTCGTTCTTTTTTATATCCATATTAACCTTAAAAAATATACTAAGTTGTCGTTTATGGATCACAGGATGGCTATAATGTGGGAAACTATGAGAATGTACCACGAAAAACAATCTGAGATAGTGCTAGCTTTGAGACACGTGGACATTTCTCAATCTCCTAAAGAAACAAGTGACCGCCACCACGAGCAAACTCGACAGTTATGTGGTGTTGTTCAGGAGTGTCATTCACATTTCATTGAACTCATGTCTCAGCAGAAAGAATATATTAAATCTCTGAACTTTTGGTTGAAGCTAAATATCATTCCTATAGATACAAACTTGAAGGAGAAAGTTTCATCTCCCCGTGGGACCCAAAACCTCCCGGTACAGACACTTTTGCAAGCCTGGCAGGATTACCTTGAGAGGATTCCTGATGAGCCTACGAAATCCACTATTAATAACTTTGCTGCTGTAATTCAGACTATATGGCAGTATCAGAAAGAGGAGTTGGATTTAAGAAACAAATGTGCAGAGTCGAGGAAGGAGCTTATGAGAAGGACCCGAGAGTTCGAGAATTGGTATAATAAATATATGCAGAGGAAAACCCCACCTGATGAAATGGATGCAGATAGAGCACACGATGAGGATTTAATTGCAGAAAGGCAGCATATTGTCGAAGCAGCAACATTGAAATTGAGAGGTGATGAGGAAGCATACCAAAGGCAGTGCATTCAGGTCAGAGAGAAATCTATGACGAGTCTGAAAAGCAATTTACCAGGACTTTTCCAAGCACTGTCAGATTTTTCTCTTGCTTGTTCAGAAATGTATAGCAACTTGAAGTCCATCGATCATTCACAAAATAGAAGTCAGGGTTGATGAAGGGAGTCATTCCGTGCTATTTGGTAAATTTTTGTTTCACTTTCAAAATAAATTCCACTTTGTTGTATCTTCATCTATATATATATATTATGTATGTATGTATGTATATGTTCCTGGCATATATAGCAAATACGTGAGATTTTTGAGTGTGTTGTTTTAATGTAACCTGTGAATTAATTCATTGGTATGTAAGGTGTGTTTTATATGACACATGACTGTCAAGGGGGCCTTATATGGTATTTCTTTGGTATACACTTGTACATACTTGTGTTTAGTACTTGTGAATTGAACATTAATACTTGACTTGTACATACTTGTATTTAGTACTTGTGAATTGAACATTAATACTTGTTTTGTGCTTCATTTTGTAAATTCATTCCAGTGGGCTGTGAATTTCCAGTTTTTTTGGCCAATTGTTTTGCTGCAGATAGTGAAGAGAGTCGTTGGGTAAGCTAAAAGAGTTAATCAATCAAAAATCATTTGACTAAATCAATTTTCCCCCTAAAAAGGTTGGTGGGTGTAGAGCTGTACAGTGGGCTGGGCGTGCTTGGCCGGGTAGGCCTGTTTACACAGAGACCACCAGGTACGGGTTTGGATTCAGCCAAATTAGGCCTGGTGATGTGGCTCACCTTAATATCCCTAGATGGGCGGGGGTGGTGGTTTGATGAAGTAGCTGGTAAAACTTTTACCAGTTCCATATGATAGCTCATCTAAAATTTGTAGCAATTTTCGCTAAGTTTGTGAAAAAAGGAGTAAAAGAAAATTTACAATTTTAAAAAGTTAAAAGAGTGTGTTTGAGTCACATTATTTTTGAAAAATGTATTTTAGAATAGTATATTGATGGAGAATGTGTGATTGAAAAAGAAGGAAAAATTATTGGTGTGATAAAAATATTATTTTATTGAATAATGTATGATTGAAAATGAGTAGAAGAATGAGAATGAAAATTTTAATGTGATTCAGACATTGGCTTCATATATTCTTTGTAATTGAAATTAATTTTAGTTATTCTAGTATTAAGCGGTCATTTATTGTTGTTTCTANGAATAGTATATTGATGGAGAATGTGTGATTGAAAAAGAAGGAAAAATTATTGGTGTGATAAAAATATTATTTTATTGAATAATGTATGATTGAAAATGAGTAGAAGAATAAAAATGAAAATTTTAATGTAACTCAAACATGATCTTAGTAATGTCACATGCATAAAGCAATGCCACCACAAATCTGGGTTGGGCAGACCAATGGGTGGTAGCTTGAAATTTGTGCCAAAAATGGATGAAAAGGTCAAGTTCGACATATAAGATGCTCCAAGAGTTATACCACGTGAGGGATTTTTACAGACAGTTTTGACAAAGAATTAGGCTGTTTGTACAGCCCGAGCTCACAGCTCGGGTCACAGCACACACACAAAGTCGCGGGCCCCGCCTCTGAATTTTGTTATTTTAATCGCGGGCCCCGCCCCTGAATGTGTGAGGGCTGTCATCCGTGCTGTGAGCCGAGCTGTGTGTGTAGCATCTCTCTTTGACAAATTTACATTGAGCAGAATTTCATTGGCAGTAGGATACAAAAAACAATTTCAAATCAGTCAATCCAATTTTACCACCTCATCATCTGAAAAAGTTCCGGACAAAACCACATGTACAAGCAGCTTAATCTTTGCTCCAAACCTTTTTTTCCTGACTAATGTTATTCATCCTCAGTGAAGATGAAAATACAGTATTGGTGACTTTAAATGATATGTTAAATGAAATGTGAAATTAAATAATTTATTTAATATCACCTATCATTTAATGCCACATTAACACCACGTAGACTGTGTTTTCATCCCCAATGAGGATGAATAGAATTACTCTTTTTTTCTCGAGTTGGAATGATTCATGGTCTGATTTTGGGGAAGTGGAAGAGGTGGCCATGTGTTGGATGATGCTATCAAGGGGTGTCAAGAATTCAAATAGGTCTAATTTGTATCTAGTCTTAGGTATTATGGAGTCGAATCATACTGTCCAAGCGACATAATTGATATAAATGAAATGTGTATATATGTCACGTCACAGTTTAGATTTTAGATCAATTATTTTATAACCGACGAAACGCAGAANTGAAAAGGTCAAGTTTGACATATAAGATGCTCCAAGAGTTATACCACGTGAGGGATTTTTACAGACAGTTTTGACAAAGAATTAGGCTGTTTGTACAGCCTGAGTTCACAGCTCGGGTCAGAGCACACACACAGCCGCGGGCCCCGCCTCTGAATTTTGTTATTTTAATTGCGGGCCCCGCCCCTGAATGTGTGAGGGTTGTCATCCGTGCTGTGAGCCGAGCTGTGTGTGTAGCATCTCTCTTTGACAAATTTACATTGAGCAGAATTTCATTGGCAGTAGGATACAAAAAACAATTTCAAATCAGTCAATCCAATTTTGCCACCTCATCATCTGAAAAAGTTCCGGACAAAACCACATGTACAAGTAGCTTAATCTTTGCTCCAAACCTTTTTTCCTGACTAATGTTATTCATCCTCAGTGAAGATGAAAATACAGTATAGGTGACTTTAAATGATTTGTTAAATTAAATGTGAAATTAAATGATTTATTTAATATCACCTATCATTTAATGCCACATTAACACCACGTAAATTGTGTTTTCATCCCCAATGAGGATGAATAGAATTACTCTTTTTTTCTCGAGTTTGAATGATTCATGGTCTGATTTTGGGGAAGTGGAAGAGGTGGCCATGTGTTGGATGATGCTATCAAAGGGTGTCAAGAATTCAAATAGGTCTAATTTGTATCTAGTCTTAGGTATTATGGAGTCGAATCATACTGTCCAAGCGACATAATTGATATAAATGAAATGTGTATATATGTCACGTCACAGTTTAGATTTTAGATCAATCATTTTATAACCGACGAAACGCAGAATCATAAAGGCTTCAATAGAAAACTCTTCACCCCATAAATACATAAACACCGAACTAAGCACCTCGCCAACAAATTTGGATTTCAAAGAGTGATTCATTTTGTCAACATTATATTATATCTATCAAAAGATCCAATTTAAACAATGAAGCGAATATGGGACTTATGGCCTTATACCAACTCAATGTAAGAATACGGACTATGGGTTTTCAAGAGTAGCTATGAGCAAGTGCGAGGCATGGTGAAGTAGGGGCGAGAATTTAAGTCCCCGTTTAATGCAACGTTTTCTTAATTTTTAAATCATTATTTTATTTTTTTCGAAATAAAATTAATGTAAAACATAAAATTAACAATTAATAATAATAGTCATGGTAGGGGATCATGTTCCCTTCATTTTGCCATCCCTTGTCTTTCTCGAAAGCCTTAATTTGGATACTCGAAAGCTTTAGTTCATCCCATTTATTTACATAAGTTTTAATATTAAATTTGAACAAAGCCGTTTTATTCTCACTTCATTAACTTAATAAGTGTTAATGTCTACTTATTTTAATTANGTTTTAATATTAAATTTGAACAAAATCGTATTATTCTCACTTCATTAACTTAATAAGTGTTAATATCTACTTATTTAAATTAAGGCCCTGTTTGAGTCACTTTTTTGTAGAATGAGAATGAAAAATATAGCCGTTATTGGGATTCACACAAGATATAGAAAATTTGAATTTAAATGTTGACGTTGTACAACTTTAATTTATCTAAGGATAACAAAGGTACAACCAATAATGCATGGTAGCTTAATTCACATTTACACCTCTGGGTGGGTAAGTTCGTGGTTTGATAATCTAGTTCGTAAACTCATTTTTAACTACATAATCTCTTCATAAAATAATTTTGCACGTAAACCTAAAATTTTTTTTTACTTTTTAATCAAACATTCTTAAATAAATAAATAAAATCACTATTACAAACTCTATTCCATCGAAAAAAGGGGCACAAACATTGCTTAAATGGGGAAGAAAT